GTCACACTAACAGTCGGTGACTGCCTTTTGGAGCCTATTTGAAGGACTTAAAACCTCATTACTAGCCGGGTGTGGTAGCCTGTAATCCCAGCATTCAGGAGGCTGAGGCAGGAGGATCGTTGTGAGTTCGAGACCAGCCTGGGCTACAAAATGAGTTCAAGGCAAGCCTGAACTGCATAGTGAAACCCCGCCTCAAAAAAAAAAAAAAAAAAAAAAGAATTTTAAGTTCCTACCAACTACACTTCCAGAACATAACCTTTTCCTAAGTTAGAGACAGCCAGTACTATCCAGTCTCTTCTAGAAATAAAATTCCCCAGAATGGATGTGAATATTATTATACAGAACAGAAGTTAAGTAGGTGGAAACATTAGCTATCAATAAAACCTACATCCTTGCGCAGTGAACATAAAATGTAATTTGAGATCTTAATATATAATATGTAGTTGAATACAGCATTCCCCATACCTGCTTTCCTCCCCAAATCTAAGACTTTATTCAAATCAGCTCCTAGAATAATATTAGTATTTTTATCTCACACCTGAGTTTTGACCAAAAGCCTTTTCTGTTGCTCTCAGAGATTCCAAAAGATTAAGAAATGTGACACAATCATATTGCGAGAGATACTGCAGCAAAGTCCGCAATATCTTCAAATCCTGAACCAAGGATTTGGTCTTGGCTCCAAGCTGGTGCCACAAAGGATCCAGATAATGGCGGATTGTCTAAAACAAGAATAAAATTCAGTATTGCTACAATATGTTAATATACCTATTCTTAATAAATACAAATTATACTTTCAATAAAGTTTATTCTTTGTATCACTAAAAATGTTAAAAGGATATATCTCATGGTATATGTATTTTACTATAATAAAAAGCACAAAATGTTATTCTTTAAGGATATGGCTAAAAATTCAGTTCACAAAATTCTAATAATAATATTTAACTTTTTAAACACAGAGAAGAGTGTTCTATTGCTATAATCTTTATGATCAGATGGGGTCAACTATCCTTGTGCAGATTTACATTATTGTCAGGAGAGAAAATTCCTGGTCAACATCAGAAAATCAATTATTTTTTTAATGAGCAGAAGCAGTATAACTGCATGACATCTCCTCTAACAAATTTAATACTGAACAGAAGTAATATTTGGATGACCATATAATTTATTGTTTAAATTGAGACACTTGTGAAAAGAAAATGGAGCACTATTAATAATTACTCCAGGACAACAAGGAGATACTGGGATTATCCTAAACAAATAGGACAAATAACTACATACCTCTTCTGTAAAAAGATTTGTGAAAGATTCAGTTTTTTAGTATGATATATGTTCTATGTAGAGACATGGTTACTAAAAAAACCAAAAAACAATGTCTTGACTCCTACTAGCGGAGGAATAATAAACACAAGTCTAGTGTAAAACACAGTAGGTTATATTTTGTTTTCCTAGAGACATATAGTCTATTAAATGAATATGAAGGTTTTTTTTTTTTAAATTACCATGCACTAAGTTATAACATACTTTTAAGGTGAAGGAATGGAATACTTAAAGTTAGTTTTATGTATCAATATTTCATAGTAAACTGACTTTTTGAAAGAATCAGAGAAAGAAGTTAAAATTTTTCCTTTTTCATATTTCCAGTGAAACAGAGGTTCATCCAGAATTTAAAAGATAATGACATGTTCTTCCAAAATATAAAAATCGGAAACTGCCTATAATTTTTAAGTCAGTATTTTATCTATAATTATCATATTAGATACTTATAAAGTTGGATTAATATTAGTTCATGGTGGAAAATTCCTTGAATTTATGTCTATTTTCTCAATTTGGTTAGTTTTATGTATCAATATGTAATTTTAAAACAGAGCAAGTCTCATATCTCCTAGTAATAAAAATTCATCCAAGTTATTTTTATTCCAAAAAAGAGACAAGTTCTTGTGTAATTATGAAACATTTTTACCTATTGATATCCAAATGTTGTCATTTCATAGCAAAAAAATTATTTATCCTCCTCTTGACTACATTTAAAATGAGATTATACTTAAAATGTAGTTATGTACACACATATTAATTGCATTAAATCTTGAACAGTATGGGGCAAGGGTCCATACAGTTATAACTATAAACATCAGAGTTATGTCTCCATGCCAAGCCACATATTTTTGTACAAATACCTTTCAGTAAACCAAAGCAGCTGTACTTTAAATCACCTCCAATTCAATTCTAAAAATAGCAAATTCTTATTAAGAACATTGCAAATATTAAAACTTGCATTCTCGAAAATTAAAACAAACTATGCTTTAAAAAGTACCTTGTCAAAAGGCTTCCCAAGAGCATTTTCTAAAGATAAATCTTCCACTTCCAGTGACGGGTTATGACATTTCAGTTCCCTTAGACATGCGTTTAAAATATCCAGTATAGCAGTTTGTATGGCAAGCATGGCAGGTGTCATAGAAACATGAATTTCCACAACTTCAGGTTTGTGCTGTTCTAAAAAAGAGTTGACTGCTACATGGAACCTAAAGAGATTAATAGTTTTCAAATAATTTTTAGTTTTAACTGTTATGTATTCTGGTCCCAGTTCAATATTCTAACAGTTTTTGTAAATGCAATTAGGAAACAGACTAAATGATCAAACTTTGAGGAATACTTTAGATCTCCATGAACAGAAGTATTATTCAAATAAAGCAGGGCCTGTAAACTATTGCTTGGGCCAAACCCTGGACTTTTTTTTTTTTTTTTTTGAAGTCTTATAGAAAACAGCCACTTCACTGTTTTCTTACTGTCTATGGCTGCTTTTGTGACTGTGACAGACCACATGGCTTGGGAAGCCCAAAATATTTACTATGTGGTTGTTTATAGGAAAAGTGTGTTGACCTCTGAGATAAGATATAATCAAAACAGGAAAAATTCTACAACTACTACTCTCTAAAGTATTGTATAACCAAAATAATATTGGCAAATGTTGCAAAAATACTTGAAAATTGAAACTTTATGTTTTCCCTACAAATTTTACACAAAGGCTTCAAAATCTTTGGGCTTTATTTCCCAGCTGGTAATCCTCAAAGTGGAAGTGGCAATCTTGTCCAATAAATCTGCAACTCACCTAAAGCTATTGTACATAGAGGCCTTTATCTCCCTGGGGGTTTCTCTAAATGCACAAGAATGAATAAAGTATCTTGGATGGATCTGATAGACTGCCAGAAAAATAACTCTCAAATCTCTCTCTACTTTCAAAAGAATCACAAATACGGGGAATACATATTTATACCTAGATGTGTTTGTTACGGACCTGACTAGCCTCTATCAAGTGCAATGTAAGTATATTTTACACTGTATTACTTTGAAGCCCAACTAAGGTGAGCAGATCCACCCAAAAATAACAAAATATTATTTACCTAGGCCACAGATACAGCTTCCTCACGAAAAGATTTCTCATCACTCTTTCCACATGACAAAAGCCAGTATCAAAGGCGACAGCGTTGTCTGTGAAAGCTTTAATGAAACCACGTTTGTTTTTCTGGCGAAAGAGGCGCAAAATGAAAGCTTCCTGACAAGACTCAATTATTCGGTGGGCTCTGTACACCAAGATGCCTGAAGGGAGAGGTTATAATTTAAGTTACAGGACAGACATGAAATTTCGTACTCACTTTTGCTCATTCACTCATTCTCTCAATTTGTCTGAATGCCTACTTGAGGATGGGCAGGTAGGTGAGGGACACAGCTACACGTAAAGAGATGTAAATCCCCATCACTGTGGAATTTTGCTAACCAACACAAGTAAGATATTTAGTATGTTACCTGTGTTAAGGAGAACAGTGAGTCAGAGGAGGGGGCGGATGCAGAGGGTTTGTAATTTTAGATAAGCAGGGTAGAGATGAGGAAACAATAAGAACAAAAGCCCTGGAGTGAGGCGTGTCTGGCACACTGAAAGAAGAAAAGTGGATCTCAATTCTCTTTTGATATATGAATCAGAGGTGGGATCTATACAAGAGCTGCATTTTAGAAGTCACCTATTAGACTAATTTAATTAATTCAATTTTCAGAATCAAGGTATATTCAACCAGAGGTAAATTAGTCCATTTAAAATAAAGACCTGCAGTGATGTATTTACTGTATGTTTGTTGTGGTGTGTGCAACTATATCATCTCTGAATCTCAAAAACCAAGACAAGTATACAGGTTTTCTTATTTACAATTGAGGATACTGGGCCAGAAGGTATTTCACATACCTATGCCATTTTGATGCAGTATTAGTGACAAGTCGGGGAGAAACACAATGTGAGTTAAGGATAGAGACATGTCATTTTGGTTCAAACACTCAATTATTCCATGATGATTCTCAATATTTTAGACCTCAGTCAAGCTGATTACTTTAGATACATAGTACTTGCATATTTTTAATCCCATTCTCATCACTCATAGGGTCTTGAAATTTTTTTTTTTTTTTTTTTTTTTTTTTTT